AAGTGGGACTACAGAGGTTTGCACAGAGAAATAACGTGCAGGGAACAGCATTCAACCTGTCAATAGTGTTCGAGATGCTCTTCTCAACCAAACAGCTGGATGCAAACCCAAACGAATGAAGCTCAGTGAAGCCGTGTTAAACTGAGAAGGACGGACTGTCGTTTTAATACCTGCTTTGTTTGAATAACCTTCACTCAGTGCAATTCAGCTCATTTTCTGGTTTTATTAGATGTTTCTCGTATGAAATATGAAGGTTCAAAATTGTTTGTAAGTTATGATTATATTGTTCTAATACCCAGAGTGGTAATCTTTATCAGAATTTATTAATAATCTTAAAAGTAATTTTATAAGGAGCCACAAAATCAACTTGGCTCCTAAATGTTTTAAGTGCTGGTAACATTGTTTTGAAACCGTACGGTTTTATGTGTTATGTATTAAGATTAATTTTTTTTTTTTTAAAGCTACATAATTCTACACAAGGACTACTTGACATATTTTTGTTTATAATTAAGTAAACTAAGCCCTTTTAATATTTGTGGAAAATAAATAATAATAATAAAAAAACAGCAAAACAACTTTCCACTCAAATAAATTACTACATTGCAGCCTGAAGTCTTAAGGGACAAAATCACAACTTTTATGTTTTTAATCTGTTAAACTGTTTTATTAAATGCAGCCTTTTACTTGCTGGATTCTTATATGAAAGTAGCTTAATGTTTTATTTCATTTAACCTTTATTTATACATGTTAGTCTCACTGAGGCACGAGGACTCATTTACAAGAGAGACTTGTTTTAGACAAATAAAATACAGACAACAATTCAACAAAAAGCAATTAAAATCAAATAAAAGAAGTTATAAACACAGTCAACTAAAAATACCATACAAAACAAAGTAAAATACTCAGAACAAGAACATACTTGTTTTTGATATTTCTATTTTATCTTTCTTCTTTTTTTTTATATTTCTATTGCATCTTTCTTTTTTTTACATTCTTATTCTATATAACGATGTTAATGTTAACAATTTTTAATACCCAACAGATGTGCAAGTCTATTACAGCAAATTATAAATATGTTGAAAAATGTAAAGTTTATTGCCATGTACATATTGTACATGTAAAAAAACATCAGTTTGCAACGTTGCATGTCAGAAAGTTGCATAAACAAAAAAACAATCTTCATGAGAAAAAATGATCACTGAATTTTAAATACGTTTAGTTCACTTGACTCACATTCAGACGATTCCAGTTCTGAATGACGGGGACATTTGTATACAAGTATATACAGTATATATGTATACAGTATACAGTATTACAGTATATAGTCCCTCGCTACTTCACGGCTCGTTTAGTGCGCCCGGGGGAGCAGATGGTGGAGTTTAAGGGCCTTTCTCAAGAGCCCAGAGTGGGGCAAATGAGGGTGGAGGCAGGTGTGGGTGTTTCACCTTTCCCACCCACATTTTGATGTTGTCTAACCAACGTTCCAATCACTGGTCCATCTTCTATAACCTCTGTGCCACCACTCCACTGTTTTATATTATCCATCCATCATCTTCCTCTTGTTCTGGACTCAGGTCTTGGGAGCAGCATCTTGAGCAGGAAGGTCCAGACATCTCTCTCCACAGCCTCTTCCAGCTCTTCTGGGAGGATTCCAAGGTGTTCCCAGGCCAACCGAGAGATGTGGTCTCTCCAGCGTGTCCTGGGTCTTCCCCAGGGTCTCCTCACAGTTGGACATGCCCGAAGCACCTCCCTAGGGAGTTCATGACCAGAGGTGAGGGGAGGAACGTAGACCTTTGCCTCACGCTCCATTCTTCCCTCACTCGTGAACAAAACCCTGAGATACTTGAACTCCTCCACTTGAGGCAGAACCTCACCCTCGACCTGAAGAGATCAATCCACCCTTTTCCGACTGAGGACCATGACCTCAGATCTGGAGGTGCTGGTTCTCATCCCAGCTGCTTCACACTCGGCTGTGAACCGCTCCAGTGAGAGCTGAAGATCACGGCACAGTGACACCAACAGGACCACATCATCTGTAAAGAGCAGAGATGGAATCCTGAAGCCACTGAACTGGACTCCCTCCATGCCCTGGCTGCACCGAGAAGTTCTGTCCATAAAACTTATGAACAGAATCTGTGACAACGGGCAGCCCTGGTGGAGTCCAACTCCCACCCTGAGGGGTCCGACTTACTGCCGGCAATGAGAATCAAACTCTCGCACCGCTTGTTTAGAGACTGAACAGCCTGTAGCAATGGGCCCCCAATCCCATTCTCAGGGAGCACCCCCCACAGTGTACCTCAATTCAATTCAGTTTATTTCTATAGCACCAAGTCACTACAGAAGCCGTCGCAGGACGCCGAACAGAAACATTCATACAAAAAAAATAAGTTAACGCTATTTATCTGAGAAGACTGCTTTGAATTTAACTCCATCGCAGAACTTTCATCTTGAGGAAGCATGAAGGCGACAGCGGAAAGGAAAAACTCCGTCATGAGGAAGACCTGGAGGGGCACCTTCCCCAGAACACCTTATCCAAGTCCACAAAACACAAGGGCTAACTCTCATGACCCCTCGAGGACCCTCGTGAGGGTATATTATATTATGGATGAAGCATAGTTACTGCCACACTGAATGTTAGACCAATATCTGTAAAAGACTGAACTTGAGACATGCTTGTGTTTGCGAGTTGACTCCAAACAGGTAATGACAGATCTTAGAGCTCAGTATATTTAATGTGAAGCAGTCTAAAAACTATTACCACACCAAACTTAAGGACACTCAACCTACTTGTATTATTGGTGTCATTCTGCTGCAGACGTTTCATGCACTCAAAACTTTAGGAGATAAACAGTGTGTCTAATTTCTTAACAAAAATGACTCGGTTTCCTATTGTTTTTTTAGTCAAAGGGGCCACTTGAGGGGGTCGAGGGGCCACATGTGGGTCGCAGCCCCCCTGATGTAGCTGGTGGTGGCAGCTCCTGTTCCGTTAAGCAGTCTCTGTCATCTGAGCAGATAAGAAGCTTAACGGGATGCTGTAACAAAGTTTATAACCAGAAACACTTCAAACTGCTCAGTGGGCTGAACCTGATAATGTTGCAAAGACTGGAAATAAGCACTTATGGTTGTTGTTTCATAAGCAGCAAAACGTAATAAACCTCTGACCTGTTGCGTCCTCTCAGCCGGATTCATCATCACAGCCTGCCGAAAGCGGTTATCCACATAAGACGCCATTGTTTTAGGAAAGGCGGCCGGAAGCCCTTCGGTCCTTATCCTTAAAACCGTGTAGCGAAACCCAGGAGTAAGTTTATTTTCAAAGTGGAGTCCACCCTTGCTGTCTCTGCTGTGCTCGGCTGAGCTCCGGGGCTGACGGCTGAAGCTGGGAGTGCCCGGCGGAGCCAGGCCAGAACTGGAGCCACACAGTCCCTTCTCCGAGCCCGTTGTCCAGCTCCAAGCCGGCTTCCAGCACCACTCCCCCGCTACGCAAGAAAAAAAAAAAGCTGCTTCTTTTATAAAAGCGAGTCTCAGATAAAAATATGAGTTGTTTCCTAACCGTAAAAAACAAATGTCTCTGCAAACGAGCCAGCGTTGAGTGCAACCGTTCCTCGTCTCCTCAGCATTCTGGCTAGCGACGCCAAGAAATTCCGTAAAGATCCGGTAAACAAAAAAGTAAGCTAGCGGCTAAAGCTAACCCGTCAGCACCAGCGCGGCGTCCATTTCAGAAGAGCCTCCCTCTCAGGACCAGTTACAAAACGCATTTTATTAACATCCTAACGGAGCTAACAGTGAGAATCGGCCCGCCGCCGTTGCTGTGTTCTGTTGTCTGCCACCACCATGGCGACTGACACCGACATCAAGCCGGAAGAGACAACAGCAGCACTTCCTGCGCAGCTTTTCAAAATAAGACACAGGTCCGTTAATAGAAAAAGATTATTTTAGTTAACGTGGAAAAAAAAGACAATTTTCCCTAAAATTTTACTCCAAATTATCATCAGGAATGAATTAATACTTTACTATAAATTCGAATGATGTATTTGGCTAACGTACACAGTTACATAAGATACAAATCGCATTAAATAAATGAATAAATAAATCTCCGTTGGTCTCAAACACACTATGACAGTTTTATCAACTTGTTTTTGGTTTGCAAACACGTAGTCGTGTACGGGTTTGTGTTAACTTTCCGTTGTGGCCCAAATCCGTTTGGTTTGACGTTTTCTTTTGAAGGTGAGACAGTTTGTATTCCTGTGTTTCAGTTGCTTTTTATTTTTGACTTGACAAAGATGTGGTCACAGGAGGAGGCTCCCTGTGGAGGAGTCCATTTCACAAAGACCAGAGGCAGGGATGGAAAGTGGCAAAAATGATGCTCTACCTCCACCAAGTGACTCAGTACAGACTTACTATACAAACATTATATATTTATATATTTAGATCTTATTAATGTTTTTATTTTACATTTTATACTTTTGTTGGATGTAACTGGGACCCTGTGTCTCTGATATATATATATATATATATATATATATATACCCCTTCAGCTATCACAGAGTTGCCAGCTAAGGCACCCGGGGAAGCAGATTGTGGGGGTCAAGGGGCTTGAGTAAGGCCCCAGAGTGGGACCAATGAGGGTGGAGGCAGTGTTGTTGTCCGCCCAAGGAGGTGAATGGGTGACCTTCTGATCACAGGCCACCTTCTCTAAAGTCTGCATCTCCTTTCCCCCTATACATTTATATAATCATCTTTAAAACAGCTTGTTTGACTAATCTATCTATCTATTGTCTGTCCATCTATCCATCCATCCATGCGTCCATCCATCCGTCCGAACAGCAGAAGTATTCTCTGTTTATTGACTGTAACTCTAGCAGTGACACCATGACAACAGGCTGGTTGTAATCCAAGCTGTCCTGACCCCACGGACACTGCAGCTGATGTTACACCACCGGGGCCCATCATTTAGCTGTGTCTAACCTGAAACAATCCAGGTATAATAACTTTTTAAAATAATGGAAAACAGTGTCCCACCTCCAGAGAATCAGCAGTGTGGACAGAGGATGATTTTTACAGGTAGGTACAGCTACTGGAGTCTTCTTTAGCTGTGTGTGTTTCTAATTGGTGCCTGAATATACAAACTTTTATTCTGTTTGCGTTGCACTGAGTCAAAGTTCAAGATGTCCATATTTGTTTTACTGGCTGTCTCTTGTTCTACATATACTACACGTTTTTCAACTGGCATGTTTTACTTGTCCTTAAAAAGCGATATGCAAATCTAATAATACCGACTGCATGATATCACTGTTATACTTTTAACTGTGCTTAAAGTATCTAATGCGTGATTGAAGAATATTTCACAAAGAAACAACTGGAAAACTTGGCTGTTTGGTGCAATTTAAATACATTTAAAGCTGCAATATTTGTACCTTAGAGATAAATTTTCATCCAGTATTTTGGGAATTAAAATAGATGTTTGTGACACAAAAACCGAACAGCTTTAGAATTTCATTAAGCCACCTGAGGAACTGAGCTCTGCTGTAGCACGTGTTGTTTTATTTGTTTATTGTGTTTATAAGTATCTTGCTTCCTGTGAATCACTTCTAAACATTAAAAGTATATATCAGCTGAATTAAAATAAGGCATCAATACAAATCAATTTACACCAACCAATCTTTTTGTTTTTATTAAATGCAAACTCTCACATGTAATTTAACGCTTGGGATTTTTCTCAACTGTATGTTCTCACATCTCCTGACTCTATAGGTCCAGATGGAATAGGAGACTACAGGCCCAGATCAAATTATTTCCCCCTGTATGTTGGCGTGGGTGCCACTTCTCCGGGGGCCACAACCGATCTCAGTTATTTGTGGCGCGCTGCACCACACAGCCACCCCCCCATGCCCAGGCGGAGATACGTGGGTGAGGTGGGCTGGGGGTGGCAGCACAACCAGCTGTTGAACTATGATGTGCTGCTCAGCAATACGCAAATTAAGGTAACGTTAGATGAAAAGCTCGACCTTGAGCAGCAGCTGCTTTGCTGAGGCATCAGCTGCAACACAGTGACTAAAACAAACAGACAACAGCTGATGCAGCATGAGGTCATTTTGTCAATGATCAACCAAACAGGGCTGACACCTGAATTAGTCATTTAGGCCAGATCACGTTTATTTAGGTATTGGGTTCTGATTTATTATGCACTACTATTTGGCATAGAACTTATATTGTTGTAATAAATATAGGTATGCAGTAAAAGTTGCTAGGTTGAAAACAACCCTCTTTGTACCTCTGAACTGGGTCAAATTTAGACCAAGCCACTGCAGAGTGTTTTACCTTAAAATAGGTTGGGTTATCTGTTTGACCTCAAAAGACTACTTTCTTCAGTTAGAGCTACTAATAGTGTGCCACTAAACACACTAACGGTGTGCCACAAAGCTCCGTTTTAGAGCCCATTTTGTTTTACAATGTATATAAGTAATGTAGGTCCAAACATTCCTGACACCTCCTTGCATCTCTATGCTGATGACACAGTTGTTTACTGTCGAGCTAACACAGTTGCCAAGGTTTTCCAGCTTCTACAGTCTGGATTTGACACCATCCAGTCAGATTTGTTTCATCTCAAGCTGGTGCTAAACGCTGATAAAACCAAAGGGATGTTGTTATCAACCAGATGGTGCCAGCAGTTCTCCATCCATGCTTGGTGTTCCTATTGAGTCTGTAGTTTCTTACAAATGCTTGGGAATCTTGGTCGATGCACAACATCTCTCTTTTAAACCCCTTGTTGAAAATTTGGAACAGAAACTGAAATTAAAACTGGGTTTCTTTTTCAGAAATAGATATTGTTTAACTCTCAACACCAGGAAACACCTTGTAGCGGTTACTTTCCTACCAGCCATTGACTATGGTGACATTATTTACATGAATGCTCCTGCCAGCTGCTTGCAGATGTTGGATGCTGTTTGTCATGGTGCACTAAGATTCATAACTGGTTGTAACTATGGTACCCACCACTGCACCCTGTACTCATTTGTCAGCTAGTCATCATTATCTTCACGTAGGCTCTCACACTGGTCCATTTAATCTATAAATCACTTCTTGGTCTGCTACCTTCTTATATCTTCTCCCACTTGTCACGTTGTCAGTGCAGTTACAGCGTGCGCTCTCAGGACATCATTACCTGCAGCGTCCCCTCAGTGCAGACTGAACTCAACCAAAAGGCCTTTTCGTACTCTGCTCCTGGAACCTGGAACACCTTACTCAAAGATCTGAAGCTATTGATTTAGATTTCTTTAAGGGATTTGAAACATTTGATAAGGTCAATCAAAACATAGAGCAAAGATGTTCTTGGTTTTTTTTGTATTTTATCTTGTTTTATGTGGCATCTTGATTTTGTTTTATGACACTACTTTTATTTTAATTGCATTTTAATGTTGTTTCGTGTTGTCTGTACTTTATATGTCGCCTGTCAAAAGCAGGTCTCTCTTATAAATGAGTCCTCGTGAGTCACTGAGACAAACCTGTATAAATAAAGGTTGAATGAATGAAAACATAAGAAGACAGTTAAAAATCAAAAATAAAACAAGTTTTGGCTTATTAGAAAATTATGACTAACCAAACCTGTGACCCAACAGCAGCTGAGTTATCGAAATAAGTTATTACTATAGTTTCAGTGTGTAATAATTTGTGTTTATATAAATCTTTAATTTTTTTTGTTTGTTTGTTTCCTGACAGAAAACAGAGATACGGGTGGCACTGGAAGACAAAGTCACTCAGAAGTTTCAGAATCCACAGTAAGATGGTGATCAGAACCTGCTGTGTGAACATATGTTTTGGTTTGAATCGAGTTCTCCTCCCTGTGTGTGTTTCGTGTCAAACGAATAAATGAAAGCATCTCAAGTTTTGACAGCTTGTATTGTAAGCGTCTTCATCCATAATGCATCACTTCCACTTTGGCAAGAACACCGAACCTGGAGCTGAGGAGGAGAAATCTGCCAGGATGACCCGCAGACAACCGATATCAACCGGATCCGAGCAAACACTGTCCAAGAGTCACGTTTACACAATCAATAACTATAAAATCAATTTGATGCAATTTGCCTATCTATCTATCTATCTATCTATCTATCTATCTATCTATCTATCTATCTATCTATCTATCTATCTATCTATCTATCTATCTATCTATCTATCTATCTATCTATCTATC